GGCAGTTTTTGAGCAGGAGGAGAGGCAGAGACACAGTTGAGCTGCGTGCTTTTTGTACCAGTGGTTTTCGGGGGGGGGGGGGGGGGGGCACAGCTGAGCTGCGCACGCTGTTTGTATTCGACCACGCGCACACGGGGGTTCTCTGTGCATGTGGGAAGAGGCAGCATCAGCACTGCCTTCAGCGTTATATCTAGTGCACCTGTATTGTATTGTGCACTGCTAGCTTAGTGGGGGGTGGGGGGTGCACACAGTTCGGTTCAGTAGGCGAGGCACTCGGTTCTGTTAACGGGGTGGGGCGCCCTGCTTGTATAATGGTAGGGGAAACAATGCGCTATGCTAGGTCCTTTTTATAAGACTGAGTTTACTGCAGCTCCTCAGACTAACAAAGTCTTTTGGATAAAAGATGAAATGCTTCAACAATCTTTTTTAAATCCATCCTGAGGACCTAACTTAACTTTTTAGATTTGTTTACCTGGATGATTGAGCAGCATCAAGATATCCTCCTGTTGGTAGCGTCAAGAATTATAAACCAATTTGCATAAACGCCTATGATTCATTTTTAAGGCAGGAGTTGCTTTAAGACAGCTGCTGATCTTGGCCTTGCTTAAAATGATATTAGCTCATTAATATGGTCTGAATTAAACTGTTTTTCCACAGCAAGGCTGTTCAAAGAGCTATCTACAACAGGCAAGATATTAATTTTTATAAGCTTTCCAAAGAGCCCTGCTTCAAAAGATCTAAACTATATAAGGTATATATATTTAAGACCCACTTGACTAAGAGAGGTAATCTGGATTTAATTTCATCTTCACAGACCTGAATCAACATGTCACCGTGTAAACTTTGGCCTTTCAAATTTCCAGTTTCTTTTCACACAATTCCAGTGAGGTGAAAATCGTGTTTTACCATGACTATGTTCTTGTTGCAGGAAATCATGATAATAGCTCTCCTCTTTTCCCCGTTACAGTGACTGTCATACTTCTCACCGCCGCCGTAGATCAGCATCACCCAGTCACCTGAAAGAAGAAAAATGTGGAAAAAAGAATTCAAGATCAATTACAGTTACAAACTTCAAACAGTCACGATGTCTATACGTATAATGCAATCCAAGATCTCTCCTAAAAACAGCTGACTGAATACACTGAGGCTAAAAAGAAAACAAATAATTTGGTTTAAAAGGGACTCACTGCCTCCAATGGCCTGCGTTGTGTTGTACAAGCCAATCACCGTTTTCTTTTTGTCGTTGTTGTTCACTTGAATAACTCCAGCATTTTGAACACCCCCTGCATCTCCACACAACTGGAACACGTATGTGTAACTGTCTTTTCCTTCCGTCACGTTGGCCTTAAAGCTGTCAACATGAGGATAAATTCCAGTTAACGTTTAACACGAGACAGAAGAGATAGAAAAACACTTAATAGCATGTAAGTAAAATTAATTTGTCATGGTTTGGTTACATTCACGAAATAATCTAGGTGCATATAAGAACATTCGCTAACATTTACACATTCCTTGTTGTATCTGCACAAGAACTGCATCTTCTGCTCTAAACACCAAAGTCTATAAAATGCATGTAAGTTATGTACTCCTACACTGCTGCGGAGAAATCAAATGAAATTTCGTTCAATTTACATGGTGCACTGTACAATTTTGAATGACAATAAAGTTTATATTTATTTTATTATAATGATATGGCCTTGGAGCAGGATGGTACAAAACTATGAAATCTCTTACACATTGTTGGCAAGAGGCTCGAGGCGTTCAAGGACTTTCTTTTCCGAGATGTTATCCGAGGCCAGTTTGCAAGCCTTGGTGGCGTTACCGGCAAACACGCCACTCTTGCACAGAACCAGCAGAACTGTAAAGGTCTGCAGCCAGATGTAACCTCGTCTGGGAACGCTGAACAGCTGGAATAAACGTAAAGGGGTGAGACGTAATCACATCACAAATACAATTTTATTTTAACATAATTACAACATATTGATGTTAACATTCCCAACAATAGTTGTTTTAAACCCAGATAAAAGAAAATCAGGAGACAACTGGTGAAGGATTTGACATGTGTTTGGATCATTAAAAAAAAAGTATTTTTAAGGAAAATGTTTTCAACATCTGAACAAGTAACCTTAACAATCTATATTGTTCCTTAGCGTGTAAAACTGAACAGTGCAAGGGTTTACAGCTGACTATCAAACAAGGAACTTCAATTTGTCCTTTTCTTCTTCAGGAAGGTATAACAGAAATATATTACTGTGGCTAGATACAACATAATAAATAATTTGGTCAAAAATGTGTTTTATGAAGTGTTTGTCGGAGTATACTCTGGTCTATAGGACAACTAAAGTTTGCTTAATATTTGCATCAATGTGTTTATTGCATGCTTTATATTTTTCTCAACAAACTCTGCAAAAAACATTCTTCTCATCTCACATACAGTATAAGATCTGACCACTCCTACATCAAATAGGTACAAATCTTAAAGAATACCTCTCCCGAGTTTTGTTACTTTAATGAACACACACATAAATCCATTAAAAACACACCCACACGTCCCATTGCTTAGAGACAAAAAAATAACTCCTAGTCGTGTGGATGGGAACGATATCTAAGTTATTGTACCAGTCTGTTCTAACATATTGTCTGGTTCTCTCCACAAGAAAAACAATTTTCCAACGAGTCAAATCATTAGTAACACTTGGAAAACTTCAACGTTCACCAGTACTACAGTTCACCTACCTGCATGACTTCTTTTACTGTAAAAGCGTCTCTTTGTAACACCAACTAGGTGTCTGTTTGTATCAAGACAGAAGTTGCAGATGATGACTCCGACTTAACACGAAGCTAATGTTGCTTCCTGGTTGACTTAACTAGCTAACGAGCATCAAAACCGAAGTTTTATTACGCAGAAACAAATTATCCGCGTTGGCGATAGAAATTTACATTGAGAAACGTTTTTGTTTTGCTGTTCCGGATCATTAAGAGGATTCCTTGAAAAGCGTGTAAAGTACTACTTAAGATGCTAACATGCTACAGAAAGAGCGGAGTGCGGAAGTGAAACCAAACATAAGCACGCGCATATGACCAACTGGAGTTCGACCAATCAGAGGCGTTTGAATTTTACTTCCGCGTCACGTGACCAGAAATATCTACAGGTGGCTGGCTGTTAGCATCGTGGTTAGCATAGATATGGCTGTTAGTGCTTTTTTGTGGCACACTGCCGTGGAAAACTCGAGAAAATTGGTAAAAGTGTATTTATCAGTACGTTGACACCGTAATGTCCACCATATTTATTTAGCAAAATATGTTCTTAACTCATTACTTTTTTCTTTATACTTTTGGTTCAACTAAGTCAATTTGGTATTCATTCAACCTTTATTTAGACCGGTTAATCCCATTGAGCCTCGAGGACTCATTTACAAGAGAGACCTGTTATAAATCACATCAAATTAACTCGTGAGCAAACAGTTCAGTGTGAACCTCGCCAACATGACGTCAGAAACCCAGTAGAGTAAACACATTTTATCCACATTACAGGCCATGGAAAGTAGATATCGGTGTATCACTGCTGTTTGCAGATGCATTATCAACAAAGCTTGTTTTCTAGACAAAGTTGTACCTTTGTTGCTCCAGTTTATCAGTATGGTCCCAATAGAAAACAACCTTTAATCTGTTTGGATTTTAATCAAGACTGTGCTCCTGAAACAATGTCCCACTCTACTTGTGCACCCAGTTTGCAAACAAAATGACAAGATTACTGATATCTTTTAGAGATGTATTCAACCTGGAGAGCACTTTGTGTTTGGTAAAACTTAGGGAAACTTTGTCACTGTTAACCAGTCCAACATGTCTCACAGCAATTAGTTTAAAAAAAAAGAAGAGAAGTGATTCACATTTTCATATTTATCTGAAATTTTCTAGTCACAACATGTAGCTGCCTAACCCTGAAAAACAATACAAGGCATACGTTAGAGAAAAAATAATTTATTGAGAGGTTGTTTGTGTTTTGCTGCAAATATTGATTGATTGCAATATTTTATAGCAAAAAAAATAAATCCTACAATTTAGTAGGCAATGCAGTTTATACATACTGTTATATAAAAAAACAAGTTCCCTCAGTAAAGCAAGACAGTGAACTTCAAGTCAAAATTACTATTTATTTTAAAACAGGTGTTGCTTTATGCACTCATTTCCCAGAACATTAGATTGACCAGTCTATCAGTAAGTCCCTCACTGATCTAGAATAGTGTGTACAAAGTTCAAGAAACACCTCTCTGCATCATAAACTAGTTTCATACATAGCAATAAAAATGAATCAGCACTTCATACTTTGAATATTTTTATCACATGGACTGATTGCTGAGAAGTTATGCACTTGATTACATGTTTTCTAAAAAAAAAAAAAAAAAAAACTCATCATAAACTAAAACTGTTCATTAAGAACAATAAATGAAAATGAAAGCCAAAAAAAAAAAAAAAAAAATCCTATTTCGGTCTAGTTGCCTAGTCCACTAACAGCAGTTTGGTTGTTGCACTTCAAATGTTTCAACGCAGATCGTTTTACTTAATCAATCAAGTTAAGTAGTCGCTTTTAAACAAATCATTCATTACCACTCAAGCATGCTGCCCTCCTCTCTGTGATTGTTTCATATGGGTATTTGCTTATTTATTATTTTAAGAAAACGGTTTTCTTTCCCTTTCTTTCCTCTTGGCATCTCATGGGAATTTGGGGACGTTTTAACGGCCTTAAGGCTTTCCTGCAAAGTGCAGACTGTCTCACAATTCACTTTTCTTACTCCCCTCCCCCCCACACACACTTCCTTGTTATCTCAACCCTTACCTTGACTAAATGTGAGGAGACACACCCGGCCATGCCTTGTCCACCAATCATGAGACACACTCAGGAGGTGTACTTCCTGTATCTTGTGAAAGAAGAGTGGGACAGGAGAGGGAAGATTTGTGCACTTGTTTTGGGGTGTGTGGGGGGGTGTCCTCTCAGTCTTATGATCAGTAACAGGGGACAGCAGAAGTGGACACATTCACAAGTCTTTTTTTGTTGTTGCTTGTTTTATGCGGGATCTTTCCTGTGGAATGCCAACAAATGTGAAGACAAACGTTGAGGCGAAGAGGAGGGGAAAGATAAGTGTCAATCTGTCGAGACTTGTTTGGGAATTTGAGGAAGGAGGAGAGCTAGGGAAAGACAGCGAGAGGCAGCAAGAGGAAAAAGCAAGGAGCACTCAGGCATAAACATGAACTATTCAAAAGAGTTGATCGACTGAGAGAGAGAGAGAGAGAAAAGACAGTTGAGATTTATTAGGAAAAACAAGAGGAAATCTACTCGGATAACGCCAAGACAAAGAGAATGAATTGTCAAAAGTTGTGCAATCCTATGCTTTTGAGCTGAGCTTAAACAGAGGGGGAGAGCAGTATCTCCTCTGGATACACGTTCAGGTGAGTTTTATTATTATAATTCTGAAAGTTGTGTCTGATGAAGGCACGTTTAAAGAAGTTGTTTGCACGCTACATGCCTTGCCTATGTGTCACAGGCCTCTGCTTTCTGTAAGACGGTTTGCATTTTTACAGGTTTGTGCTGCATTCTTACAGAACAGTAAGAGGGTGTCACCTTTTCTCCTGACTTCTTTACACTAAACATGATTTACTCAAAGTAAATGTACAGAAATTGAAAAAACAAGTACAAACAAAATATAACTGCAGTTTAAAGAGTAACAGCGCAGCTCTTAATTTTTATGCACAAAGCGACTGTGTTGAATTTGGTCTTCACTTGGATGCTTTATGAATTTAGATCCTTTTAACTAACCCGTGTGTTAACCATCTTCTAGATTCACCAAATTATGGTACCATGGGGAGCAAAAAGGCCATTTCTACCATTTTTGACACGTTGTCTAGCCTAACTGTACCTGACTACAAGTTTCATTCAGGACGAAACTCTCGAGACCCAAGTCCATCGCCAAAAACTATTGCTTCGTTGGAAGAAGAAAGAGTCAACAAACAAAATAAAAACGGGAGGAGGGAGGTGGAGCAGCAGCAACACAAAGACAGAGCTTCTGATCTCTGGGTCAGAGAAAGAAAAAGAGAGCCGGATGAAAGAGGAAGGAGGCGAGAAGATGACAAGAGCCAAAATGGTAGGCTGCTGTCGAATGTGGAGAACACAGAGACTGAGCAAGGAATAAAAAAGAAGGGAAAGAAAGGTGATACATTTCCAAGAATGAAACAAGTTGACAGAGGTCCTCAAAGTACTCCTCCTGAGATGGAAGAAGACAGGAGACAGAGAGATGGTCAAATAGATAGCTGGGAGAAAAAGAGACAGATGTACAGGGAAAGAGAAGGGCGACAAAACCCTAGAAGAAGATACCCTGAAGACGAGAGAACAGTAAAGAGTGAACAATATACCTGTAAGATGTCTGGAGTTGAACTTCAAGAGAGGACAAGTGAAACTACTGGTTCACGGGACACAAGAGATAAAGAAGTAGCTAGAAAAAGAGAAAAGATGAGAGCTGATGTGGATGAGGCCAAGATGTATTCACTTCATAGAGGTCAAGAAAAAGAGAGGTACGCAGAAAGAAAGGAGAGGGCTCAGAGGAAAGAGAGGATGAAAGATGCCAGGAATGAAGGAGACCTTGAGAGTAAGCTGAGAAGAGACCAAATGAAGGACAGAGAGAGGGAAGAGGCATCAAGTCAATTCAGCAAATATGAGGAGGTAAACAGCAGCAAAATGCCACTAGAGAGGGATAAGGATGGGCAGAGAAAGAGAGACATGGATAGATCCAGGAGGAGAGAAGAGGACAACCGGAAAAGATCTGACGAGGTTTTCATGAGAACAGCAAGGCAGGTGGACAGAGAGGAAATATTGAGAATGGAAAGAAAATTAATTGATGATAGGAGAGTGGATGATCAATACAGAAATGAGAGAAGATACAAGAAGACATGTGAACAACAGGCAGACAAAAGCAACAGATCCATGAATGATTCAGCTCAGAGGCCGCCTCCACAAGTCCAAAGAGGCAGAGAACGGATCAGTGATGGGGACATTGAGAAATATAGACAAGACAGAGACATTTATAGGGAAAGGGAAAGAAGGACAAGACAGGCTGTTGAAGGTGAAAGAATAAAAGAAAGATGCAGCGAACCAAAGGCAGCAGCTGACAGAAGTCAGAAGCAACAAATAAGAAGTGAGAAACAAGGAAGAGATAGAAGAGAAACCACAAATAGCTTGCCAGAGAAGAAAAGGATGTGGTTAGAGCCACAGAGGGGCAAGACAACTGAAGATAAAAACAGTGAGAGTTATCAAATGCAGAAAAGGGAGAGGAGAAGGGAGGAGATGAACGTGGAGTCAATGGAAGAAAAGGGAAGACCCAAGAGGCGAGAAAAAGCAGAACCAGATGAGAGGAACTTGGAGCAAAGCTATTCTAAAAGAAGGCATGGTGGCAGAGATGTGTATAGCGGAGACTCTGCGGGAGTGAGTGTAGATGGAGACGATGAGGTGAGTGAAATCTGGACAGAGCGAGGAGGGAAGGAACATCTGTCTGACAGTTGTGGAGAGATAGAGGAACGGCGACAGGGAGATCTACAGGGAGAGATAATGACCAACAACACTGAGGAGAGTGACACAGACGAAGATGGTGGGCGTGAATCTTGGGCACCATCTGGAAGTGAAAGAGGAAATGATGGGAGTTGGAAGCAAGACAGAATTATGTCAGGAGAGAACATGGTTGTGACTTTGTCCAGTGGTGGAGACGAGGAAGAAGAAAGAGAAAATTATCAAAAGGAGTTTAAGGACTATAAGAATTCCTGTGAAGCTGGTGCTTCAGATGAGGATCCAACGCCTGATAGTTCCATGGGTTCTGAAGGTGATGATCGGGACGAATCTACTACAAGGAATGAGGAAGTGGTTAATGATGATGCACAAGGGAGTCAAAAGAAGCCAAAGTATGTCTTCTTTGTTGCTGGGCAAAGTCATTCCCGGTCAGAAACAACTGAGCTGTCATCGTCAGAAGATGATGAAGTGGGAGGAGTGGAAATAGACGAACCAAATTCAGAAACTCTTAATCAAAGTAGTGATGAGGCCAAACATGAATCTCAGGATGCCCAGCAGCTGACATCCAGCAGAAACAACAAGCAAAGTGACTACAGTTTTCCAATAAAGGAAGGACTCTCAACAGGAGACACAGCTGAAGGGGACATTCGATACAATGCATCCAAAGAGCTACAAGATGTTGAACTTAAAGAGGAAATGAGGAGCAAAGTGGAACCCGTGCGCACAGGATTTAGAGAAATGAAAAGCGACTCAAAAACTGAACAACTCCTTGTACATTGGAGAGAAAATAATAAAGGAAGACGACAAAGTCATGCTGATACTCGTTCTAGAGACAGTTTGGAGCGAATTCCACCCTTCTTGGATGACATGAACATTGAAACAATGAGTCAAGAAGAGATGGACGAAGTTCGGATCAGAATGAGCGGGGCATGGACCATGTCCAAGGAGCCAAAGCGGCATTCCCAAGCCCCCCACCTGAAATGGGCTACAAGTGTGGTGCGCGAGATCCTGGGACACTCTGATGAACAGGTGGTGAATGAACCAAAACAAGATCAAGGGGCCAAACAAATCAAGAATGATGAGGAAAAAGACATTGATCCACAAAGGAGTTTTGATTTGCCGATTATTTCGTTGACAAGAGATGATCAGAATTCAGACCCGGAACTGGAGGAGGAAGACCTGGAGGTGGACTTTAAAGGTATGGGACAGACCCAAGCCAACATTCAAGCAGGCCACGTCACAGCTATACATGTTGTAACACCTTCATACACTAATACTGACACACATTTAAACACCGAGGGGAAGGAAAATCACACTATGGACCAAAAGACTGAACTCTCTGGTCAGGCTCAGTTAGAAAGAGCAGATATAAAAGAGTTAAGAGAAACAGACAATGGAAAAAGCAAGGGAAAGGAGGTGGAGGAGTATTTAATGATCAACACACTGTACAAGCCTAAAAGCTGCCCCGTTCTTAACTATGATTCAGAACCTGATCTTGTAACTCTCCCTAAAGAGGGTAGAAGCCAGGAGGTTAAAGACGAAATGAGTGAAGGAGCAGAAGACAGGCAGACAGAAGAGGGGAATACAGAAGCGGAGATGGAGAAATTTATAGAAGAAACTGAGGTGGAAGTTAGAAAGGATGAGATAGGAGCTGAATTGAAAGCGGCGACTGTCACAAAGTCTTCCAGTTTTCTGAATATGAGCCCTGAAGTTCGCATACGGAGGCGGGCGATCCGTAAAACCAATAAACAAAGAGACGAAGACCATGTAGACGTGGAAGAAGAAATAAGTGTTGGAAGGGATCGCAGAGCCAGAGTATTCTCTCCAACAGGTAAAGACAGAAAACTAAGACAACACTGGGATTTGATCAAATTCATTAACCGTTTCCGAAATCTGCAGAACCACCTCTTGATTTTTACCTCCGTCTCTTTTTGTTGTCTGTAAGCATTGCAGTTTACCTTCAAACAAGACTGCGTGCTTACAACAATCAAAATCAACAAATAACACTTTAAAATCACATTCTTCTTTTTCTTTCTTCTGTTTTCTAATCTCAGGAACATTTAATACCTATAGATTTACACCACTCAAAGATAAAAAAAAAAAAAAGTACTTAGTTATCTACCACTCTCGGTTATCTTTGCACCAATCGACACAAAGTGAATCATCTAAACTGGAAACGGTGTCACAATGTTGTGATTACATTTCATGGTGGAAATTAGCAAAGGCGGAGCAAGAAAGGGAAAATCCAAGGTGTGACTATAACGTGCAGATGTTAATCCTCTTTTCAGACAGACTGTTAAAGCATAGGTTCTGGAAACAATCATTTCTTTTCTGTAACTTATAGTGGCGGGGCATTTAATTTACTGAACTAATTTATTATGTAGTTAATGTATATATGTTGTAGCTTTTATTTCTTACACGTTCAAGATGATGTTTTGTAGCGTCACTACAAATAGCTACATTTTTATTTCAGATGACGTTCACAGTAAAAGCTTGGGAGAGGTGAACCTAAGGTGAGTAAAATAAAAATTGTGCACATTTTTAAATACTCCTATTGAAACCAGTCGAAGTTTAATTTTTAGAGGAGCAATAGTGCGGGTACTAAACAGTCTCCTAAAATCTGATGTTTTTGCAGTTATACTAAATGAGCTTTAGAGGGTTTTTTTTTTATGAACTCCACAGTTATGTTTTTCTTGTTCTTTTTTTGGCAGGAATGCTTTCGACAAAATGGCAAGACTCCAGGGGAATTCAAGTTTTCTCAGTAAGTTTCTCGTTTTTATTTATTCGTGTTTAAGCGCCAAAAATAATCATCTGATATGTTATATACGTATCTTCATTGCTGCCTTGTTGTGAAATATATATTTTTTTTAAGTTTTGTTAGCGTCAGTGACAGTGATGTCTTAACGTAAATCTGAAGAGTAATAGACCAGTTGAGGCGACATGACGATATACGAGCTGAGAGCAGCAGGGAAAAGCGTGACAGGCTTGAGCGTTTCCCCTCAAAGTGTGTGTGAGTCATATTTCTGTGTAAATACAAGCTCAGTGACTGTTTATCTCTTAATCACCTAATGCTGGGTTCAAAACTTCAGTGTCATACACAAAAGAGAGCAAATCTATATTCGTTTACTTCTGGCTCACACCATTTAAAAATAATGTGTTAAACAAATTGAAATGGTAGCCGTTCTCTTTACTACTGCTGCACTTGGCTGTTACGAGAAATGGGAAAGGAGTGTGTTGGTGCTTGATCTGTGTGAGTGTGTTTGTGCTAGTCACAGACAGGTTTCTGCAAGCAGTCATTTTTTTATGAACTTGTCAGGAAAACAGCTGCGGCTGTGATTTTACATTCCGATCAGTGTGTGTATAAGAACTGTTTAAAATGCTAAAAGCGACTCGTGAAAAACACTTTTCTGTCTCCACTTGTTTTACTTCTTTTGCTTCCTGTCCATTTAGAGAATTTATTCTTTCTTGACTCGTTTGTCTCTCTTCTTCTCTCCCCCAGATGCAGCGCTGCTCTACCAGCAGTACAACGAGGCGGCACAGAACATTGAGATTCTGCGTCAGTTTCGCTCCGATGTTCTCTCAGTGGGTGAAGACCCTAACCTGTCCCCCATGCCCTCACCTCCCCCTGCCCGCAGACCTCTTCCTCCCATACCTCCAGTCCCACAGTTGTGCTCCTTGACTCATGCCGGCTCTGTCACAAGTGCCAAAAATTTGCCTCTCCCAGACATCCCCAGGACTGAGCACAGGCCGCCCTCTCCACGTTTGTCCATCTCACTCACACAGTATTCCGTTCTGTGGCGGGAATTGCCGGAAGTCAGGAATGACCCTGAGCTGGAGATGCTCACAGAGGATCAAAGACGACTACAGGAGGTAAATGTCTTACATCGTATATATTTGATGGGCAAAGACTCCTCATGTAGCACTCCCAAGCTCTTCAGATTTTTTAATGAATAAGACTGAAATGACCATCCCATTCAATCCCTAAAGAAATGGTACTAGAGTTTGGTTCACAATGCTGGCAGTCAGTTGGACTCCTTCAGGATGGGAGTTGGACTTTGCCAGGACTGCCTGTTGTCACTGATTCCATTCATAGCTTTTATGGACAGGTTTTCTCGGTGCAGCCAGGGGGCAGAAGGAGTCAGGTTTGATGACCTCAGGATTCCATCTTTATTTGTAGATTATGTGGTCCTGTTGTCGTCCTCGTCCATGATTTCCAGCTCTCCACTGAGAGCTGGAGATCTCAGTGGAGTGTTTAGTTCACAGCCGAATGTGAAGTGGGTGGGATGAAGATCATCACCGCCAAACCTGAGGCCATGGTCCTCAGTCGGAAAAGGGTGGATTGCCCTCTCTGGGTTTTGGGTGAGGTGCTGCATCAAGTGGAGGCATTCAAATATCTCTGGGTTTTGTTCACGAGTGTGGGAAGAATGGAGCACGAGATTGATAAATGGATTGGTTCAGCTTCTGCAGTATTGCAGACACTGTGCTGGTCTGTTCTGGTAAGGAGGAAGCTTAGTTGTAAAGCGAAACTCTCTGTTTACCAGTTGGTTTATGTTCCTACTCTCATCTACAGCCACAAACTCTGGATAGTGTCTGAAAGATAACGAGATCTCAGATATAGGCCGTCAAAATGAATTTTCTCTGCAGGGTAGTTGGACTCTCACTTAGAGGTAGGGTGAGAAGTTCAGTTAACTGGTAGAGACTTGAAGCTGAGGCGATGATCCTCCATATCGAGAGGAGCCAGTTTAGGTGGTTCAGGCATCTTGTAAGGATGCTCCTGGACACCTCCCTATAGAGGTTTTCTGAGCATGTTGGACTGAGAGGAGACCCTGAGGCAAGACCCAGTACACAGTGGAAGGACTATGTCTATCTGCTGACAAGAGAATGCCTTAGAGTCCTTCCAGAAAAGATGGAAGAGCTGGGTGTGGAAAGAGATGTCTGGACCTCCCTTCTCAATCTGCTGCCCCTGTGACACAGCTCCGAAACAAGCGGCAGATAATGGATGGAGTCTGAACTTGTTTCAACGCATTTTGTTGGCAATGACTTGCATGCTGATTATCTTTGCTTTTCCCAAAGCATTTACTTCCTTGTTTTGGTGTGAAGTAATCTAAACTTGATTTAGTTATGAATCTTGTTAGGATTCTAAGTGATTTGCACTTTCATCTCTGGAAAGTTTCTCAGATTGCATACCTGGCACAGCGAAGTTCAAAATAATCCTGAGGGCAATTCAAATTAACGATTGTAATTTATTGCCCCATGAGCTTCACTCTGAAATGCCTTGTTTTCTCTTGCAGAAAGTGTAACTTTTGCTTTTTTATTTTAGGAATTGTTTCCTTGTTCTTGCTCATTGCTATTAACTTGTTGACACATTAAAATCTCGCATATGATACAGCTTTGTCACATCACAGATTAACGCTACTTCTAATCCAGTTTTCATTGAAAGTGTTTCCAGCCAACTGTTCTGTTGAACAATGATGTACATTTCTCTGTAAACTTCACAAGAAACATGAGTCACAGTGGAAGATTTTTCACGTGTTGTGAAATCACAACTGACAACTTTTTGCTCGTTGGGTGTCAATTACATGTTTTCATTTGGTTCCACTTTCATCCTTTCTCTGATTTTGTCTGCAAGGTGAGATTTGAGGTTGTGACGTCTGAAGCATCCTATTGCCGGAGTTTGGACATAGTTGTTGATCATTTCGTCAAGTCCAAAGATCTCGATACGCTGCTGACCACTCAGGATAAAAAGTGGCTGTTCTCCCGCCTGTCCGACGTTCGAGCCATCAGCCGCAGGTCAGAAACTTGAAAACTGTTATTGACATAAAGGTTATTCTCTGTGTACATCTAGTGGCAAAACGAAATATCTGTGAGATCACGAAGGTTAACGTTCTTCTTTTTTTAGATTTTTATCCAAACTGGAGGAGCGAGTGGAGTCGGACGTCATGCACTTTACTGTGTGCGACATCATTGTTAAGCAGTGTCCACGCTTCAGGACAGTTTATGTGCCGTACCTCACCAACCAGTCATATCAGGACGCCACCTACCAAAAACTCATGTAAGCAGTTTGTGTCTTTGAGTTTCCTCCCATTGAAGGAGATTTCTTTTAAGTTTTAGATCCAATGGAAACTATTGTGCGTTTGTTTTTAGGAACGGGAATCCGGGGTTCAAGCGGGTTGTGGAAGCGTTAGAGAAGAGTCCTGTTTGTCAGAGACTTCCTCTTCGCTCCTTCCTTGTGCTTCCCTTCCAAAGAATCACAAGAATGAGGCTGCTGGTCCAGGTGTGTATTAAAACCCTCAAAGACCCTTTCAGTTTTATGCATTTTTACCTGACACAGACCTTTGACTTTTGCAGAATATTGTGAAAAGAACAACTCCTGGTACAGTGGAGGCAACAAATGCCATCAAAGCGTTAAAACTTCTTGACAAGGTGCAGTAACTTTCTATTTTTATGCTGTATATGGAAAATCATTATTCAGTACTGAAAAACTCCTCTTCTCCTCTTGTTTCTCTCTCTAGATGATTCAAGACAGTAACGACAGCATCTCTCAGATGAAAAACATTGAGTCTTTGGTCACTCTCAATTCTAAGGTGGACTTTGAGTGCAGAGTGAGTAATAAAAAGGAAATATTGGTATTATGGTTGCATTGATTGATAGACTGATTGATATTTATGTATTTATTCTCTGTCCTGGAACGTTAGACTAGTTTTAAAACGTTTAAAACTTTTAAAAAGTTTTCAAATCATTACAGTATGTCTTTGTTGACTCATAGTGGAGCCACTGTAAATTCCTGATAGGTGTGAAAATGACAGTAGCTGCTAAAAAGGAGAGGTTTGGTGTTCTCCAGGACATTAACTGCTTTAGAGCAGCAAGGTGAAGTTGTCGGGCCACTAGTCTTCCCATTAAAGAACATGGAGACAGATATCCTGTCTAGGATGATTTATTTGCTGTGTTTCTTCTGGTATTTACACACAGCAGTAAACCAGTGAAGCACAAACAAGCTTGAACAACAAGGCTCCATCTGTGTCAGGAGAGAAAATAAAAAACCTCCAACTGAGCTCTGCACTTTACACAGAGCGGTGTGTTCACTAGCATTGGAACAGCCACGGTGCATTCAAGATTATAAGAACTACTAAATTCAGAAATAAACGAGCCATAATAACCAAACAGAACCTAGCTCGGTAAACAAGCCAACTACACAACAACGTGGGCTTTCTAACAACTTTGTTAATAAAGGTTAATAAAAGTTGAATGAAATGAATATATTTCTTTAGAATCAAACTTTTTAAAGAGCAATCTTTCATTGCTCAGTTCAAATTTTCCAAGACTTTGTCATTGGATATTGCACCCAATAAATGTTGTTTTGGAAATTCTAACCATTCACTTTTACTTAATACTCTTACTTTAAGTACAGTTAATATGAGAAATTTACTTTTGATACTTAAGTGCATTAAATGTCAGATACTTCAAGATTTTTACTCAAGTAATAATTTTAAAGGAGGCTTTAACTTTTACAAAAGTAATTTTATGGTAAGATACTTGTACTTTCACTTAAGTATCACTTTGAGGTACTTTATACAACACTGGCAAATTATCTCGTGAACTCGTGGCTGTGGATTTTAATGAATTTATCGGAAAATAAGCACTGGATGTACATTGAGATGATTATCTTTTGGAGTCAACTCAATTTAAAATAGCCTCCACAGCTAATTTTAGCCAACGTGGCTATAAACTTTGTCAGTTCTACAGATACTGAAGTAAAATCTGGTCAAATTTACACACACATACTCAAAGCACTAACAGACCACTCAAGATCTTTCTCTGTGTTTTTGACGTCCAGGATAGCAGGTGATGAGCATTTATCCAAGAAATGCTGGTTTAATTTCAATATTTTTCAGTGGTGACAGTCTAATAGGACATAACTAATAATGTGTGTTCTGGTTAAATTTCAGACTCTTCCTCTTGTCAGTCAGTCTCGGAGGTTGGTGCGTGAAGGTCCAGTGACTCAGCTGTTGGATTTTTCTCTAAAAGACACAGAGAGAAATATTTACTTGCATCTCTTCAATGACTACTTGCTAATCTCTGTACATAAAGAGTGAGTAACCAAACATGTTACTTTGTAATTCCATTATAATCCATCTGCAGCTAGCCAGCTCCTCTCTCATTACCATCTGTTGCATCCTGTGCTCCTATTATCTGCTGTCTTTTGGCATCATCTCTTTAGTCTTATCACAGCTTTTCCTTCCGCTGTCCCGCTCGTCATCTGTGTTTATGCTGTCTGCTGTTTGCAGAGGGGGGAGGTTCACGGTGGTCGACCACAGTCCTGTGAAAGACCTGCGTGCGGAGAACTTCCGCGTTAAACTTCTCTCCCTACAGAAGAACGTTTTCCGGTTGCACTGGACCAACGAGTCCCTGCTTCTAAGAACCGATTCACAGTAAGAGACTTGGACACGAGGAACATATAAAATCAGAAAACAAACATTTGTTTGGAAAATGCATTTGTGGGTGGAGCAGAATAGCTGAATATGAGTTGCACAAATTAAAAAAAAGTCTTATTTTCTCTGTCAATGCCAAACAGCTTATCTGCTACTGACTCTTGTTTGGTGTTGTTTATTGGATTGGATGTTTGAAGTTTTAAGAAACAATTTGACAATTTAATCACTTAATAAGCAGAGGCCTCAGTAGCATGTGGAAGAACCATACACAGCCAGAACAGCCTGGCACCTCCTCCTCGTAGAGCTCCCTAGCTTGATCACATACTTCTGTGGGATAGCATCCAGCATCCAGTTTAGCCTGTGTGGTTGTAGTGGTCACTCTGGTACCAACAACATGCCCACGTTGATCCCACAGGTGTTCAACAGCGTTGAGTTCAGAACTGTAGGCATCCTTTCCACTCCCAAATTATTGAGCTAGTAAGATAAAGATAAAGATAAAGCTAGTTAAACCTCATTCTGTGGGGATGAGTGTTGTCATCATGGAGTATAGAGTTTAGTTCCAGACTGTGGAGATGTGGGATTACCACTGGTTGATCACAGGTGCTGACAATCGGACACCTTATTGTCAGCACATAGGTACCAGTAGCTCAAAATAGAGTAAAGCTGTTAGACAGAGAGGATTTGGTTTTTATAGGTACAACCTACATACTCAGCTCTGCTGCTCAATCCAAAAACGCATTTTGAACAAATAAAGGTGACATCATTTAATGAGTTATATGGAGTTTCCAACAGTATCAGATTTATTGCCAAGAAGTATTGTTACAGCCATACAGAAATAATCAACCTAACACAAATTTCCTTACTTTTTGGTCTAGGTTTAGAAACTAGTAGGTGACATCTGTCTGTCTGTCTGCGAATGGCTGTTTTTCTGTTTTGAGTTCTGTTGTTTCAGAGCTCTTTGGTGTTTTTGCAAAAAACTGCATATTTACCTGCTGAAATATTCTTTTAAAAAAAGCTAAGTATGCTTGGACTCACTGGACTGGGCTAGTATGTGAGATCACAAAAAAATCCCCCTTTTTTATTTTAAAGCCAGTTGCTGAAGAAAAGCTTGTTCATACCTAATCCACTACGTTTGAGCATATTTAAAAGAAAATATAAGATGTGGAAGATGCCGTCTTTGCATTAACAACTCAAAAAACACAGTTTTACATTTATATTTAATATATTACTTACACTATATATATATTTACACTATTATTATTATTTACACTGTTTTTACTCAAACAATTAAATGACTCAAAGTAACAAAATCAGTTTTTGTCATCACTGCTGACAAAATGAGTCACACTGAGGGTTTTTTCAATATTGAGTTAATATTAATTTAATCAAATGTCCATCTCTAAAACTTCAAAATGATACATAGTTGGTTGGAATTTGGTGACTTATCACATGGTCTGGCAATAAACTAATTTTGTTTAACAGAGCGTGGGTTTGAAAACATCTTTTTTATTGGTCTGGAGTGATGCCATGGGAATTCTAGCTGTGTATTTTAAAAAAAGAATCTCTGAGCTTCACAATGATGCCAAACTTTAAACGAAAGGATTTCCCTGCACTATTGCAGATGCCAAAGAAGAATGGTCAATTTGAAAGGAATTAAAGAGTAGAATTAAAAGGATAATTTCCAAAGACATTCATGTTAGCAACCTTTCATCTAGAGGTAGATTAAAAAGATTATTTGCTATTTTTGTTACTGAGATCACTAGATTAGACTTTTTTTTTTTTTTTTTTTTTAACACAAATCTCAGTTAGGATAAAAATCAGTATTTTCACCTTTTTGCACAGCAGCCTGAGCTCATTCCAGCTCGTTTTGCCAGAATGGGTCACATTTATGCTGACATGATCCTGCAAATAAGTAAATACTAAAGTGACAAAAATCATTATCAAACAGTTAGGATATTTGAATTGATGTTTTTTAGAAAAATTATGAACAATAATAGCTTACCTGATGTAGATAGCTCTTTGAATTACCTCAGTTTGGAGTTTCATTCTGACTGGATTAACGAGCTAATGGCTAGTCTGAAGGAGGCTGAGACCAAAACGGATTTCTATTGTTTTAAAACAACCCTAATCTCAGAAATTGTATTGTTTTTAATGCAAAAGCTACTTTCTGCAGAAAAAGAAGTGGTGTTCTTGCTGGAAGTGCTACAGCTACTTGCTGCTGTCACTCTTTGAGCTTGCAGTTAATCTCCAAATTCTGTGTAAACAACCAGTAATAACAATCTCAATATTGTGGTTTTGAAATTGGAGTCTTATTCCTTCAAACTGAGGTCATTCAAAAAGCTATCTAAAACTGGTAAGACTTTAACGGTTAATAAACTTTTCACGGAAACCCACTTAAAAAGATCTGAGCTATTACTTTAAACAATAAATTTCAGAACGTAAAACAGCCATTCAAATAGGAAATATTTTTCACTAGGTAAAATCATGAAGCCACACGTAACTTGAAGTTTTTCCACTGAACTGAATAATTTTAGCAAACAGACAGAATCTGCCAAATCTGTTGTCTCAAATCAGATTCACTTAATTGTCCACATAAGGAAGTTTTTCTTGCTACAAAGTGCTACATTTGTTTAAGGAATACAAACCACATTGTAAAATAATAATAGTGCAATTCTCCTAAAGTTGAAAATAAAATGGCAACATGATGGCTCAGTGGTTGGTTGGCACTGTTGCCTCACAGCAAGAAGGTTCTGGGTTCAATCCCCGGTTGGACCTATGTGGAGTTTGCATGTTCTTCTCATGTTGTGTGGGTTTTCTCCGGGTACTTCAATTTCCTCCCACAGACCAAAAACATGCATGTTAGTCTGCCTTCAGGCCCAGGCCTCCTTGCAAAAGAGATCTGTGATCTCAATGGGATTTGCCTGGTTAAATAAAGGTTAATAAAAATGTAAAGAAATTAAAACAATTTTACCTGTGACACTAAAATAGACGTATTCCAAACCTAAATGTTTTCTATTGGAGCAAAATAATGACGTAGGAATACAGAAAAGTTTGAGTTGGTTGGCTTCACACTTACTGGCATCATCCTAACAGTAACGGGTCAAAGTCAGAAAACACTGAGTCAGGATTAAAGAGAAAAATCCTCAAGTTTTTTATTTCAACAGTTTCAGTAAACTGCCCCCTTCTGTATAGAATGAGGAGTTTAGTTTTAAATGTTTGCCTTAAAATAATGTCTTTTCAAAATAGAGAAATACATGCATCACACCATGAGTGTTTAAAGTTGTTAAAATCATATTTTGAGTCAAAAAGTTAAATTTAATGAGACTATTTGAGACAATTTCCAGGCAGTATGCAAAAACAGGTCTCTCTTGTAAATGAGTTCTCGTGACTCACTGAGACTAACCTGTATAAATAAAGGTTGAATGGAAAAAAAAAAAAGCTTTCTGTGTTTTAGTAAAGTTTAGATAAAACAACTTTTTGTTTTGTCTGAGCCATAAAAATAGATATAAATAAGATCTAGGAATCTTATTTTGAAGTTCTGTGTGTGTTTTCTATCTGTTCGTTGACTTTTGGAAAGGATGTGTCAGTGGCCCATCACAAAAGTTGGATAATAAACTCCTTTCTTTAACGTTTTCCCTGCAGGAGTGATAAGCTACGCTGGATATCAGCCATCTCCAGGCCCCATCCAGAACTAGATTTTTCTGCTGCAGAAGGTATAAAATTAAATTTGGTCTAGATGATCCAACAAGGAGTTGTCAAAGTTCTCAGTCACAAATTGTGAAGAGTATATGAATCATGCTCATATATATATTTCACCAACACAAAATATGAGTTTGATTTCTGATGTGAAATATTTTCTGTCATTTTTATCTTTTGACAGCCGTTTTTCTTTTTCACACTTCTCCAATCAAAATAAGCATGTGTGTACGGGTGACATGAAGAGATAACGATACAAAAACAATGTTCAGCCCATATTTTGAACACACAACGGGCTGAAGTGTTTGAACATTAATGCAGAATTATAGGCCACAACTCAGCTTGCTCCTGTTGGTTGTGAAATATGATGATCTAGTTTACTGACAAACATGCCATTAGCCAGTGAGAGGTCGAAAACCAGATTTTACATTGTCAAATTCATGCAGGTCGTGACCTCGAAGTGTTTACAGCCAAACAGCTAAGATCCCTTAAAATCTTCATGACTTTCAGTCGACGTTCTGTCAAACCTGTGAAGGAAAACTCTAGAATGAGGATTTCTAAAGCTCCATCATCTCTGCTGTTTCTGGCGACAGAAAATAAAGTTTTGGGTTTAGTGTAACAATTTAGTAATTATGTAGTAATAGTTATTAACACTAAGGGTTTTTTTTCTGTTAATAACTGCTAAAACAGGATTTGCTTTGATTATTAAAATAGAACGTTAGGCTGGTGGAAATCATGCGTATTATTGTGGGGTGATAGAAAATAAAAACTCAAGCAGCTCTTAAAGGTTTCTGGGAGAAGTGAATAAAGGCCTGTTTATGAAGTTTATAAGTCTAGATTTGCAATACTGATAAAAATACACGTTTGAGTAGACTCAATGTTTTTTTCTCATGAGCATTCTTGACTTATCCAGAGTAGCTCTGGACCAATTTGCCTCTCAAATGTCACCTTTCCCTCTCTTCTATCCAGATTTAGCCCAGATGCAGTGTATCCGAGCTTATATTGCTCAGCAGCCTGATGAGCTGTCTTTAGAAAAAGCTGACGTTATCTTGGTGCACCAGGACTCCAGTGACAGTAAGTCCATCACATACTGAAATATATAACCCGCTTGCAGAAAAAGCAGCATCACTCACACAGTTTCATTATAAAACAGCACCGATTTGTACGTTAGTTTAAATGAAGTGCTCCTTTCCTTCATGTTGGATTCTCCTCTATTTCTAGATTGGGTAGAGGGAACCAAACTGTCAGATCTACATCGCGGATGGGTGCCCAAGTCCCATTTGGAGGTCATTACCAACCCCAAAGCCAGAAAACACAACCTGTCAGATGCCTACAAGTTGACGACGGCTACAGCTGCTGTCTGAGCTGACTGCTGACTTCAGGAGTAAACAGAGGGATGTCCTGAATGCATCACACTGTAGTTTATCTGCTACGCGCTTCTGGTTGCTGCATACCGGACTGTGGATATTCACTTTTGTTAATAAAGTGTGCACAAATGCAGCAGCTAAACCAACAACAACAAACTACAAAAATGGATACAAGTGTAGATTTGTGTTTCGCTGGTTTCATTCTGAGAAACGTTTTCATGCTGGACAGTGCACAGGTTGGTATGAGAGCCATTCCCAGTTATTTCTTTCATTACAATGTCAGGTACGTCGCAAACATTTTCTGTAAATCAGTGTTCTTAAAGTGCATTGATAGATCTGTGTTTTAAAAGAAAAAAAAGGTAAGGGAGTTGCTTTCCTACAAGGAATACTATTTTTGGAAAACCATTATTTTGTGTGCATAATGACTAAAGACTATGATGCAAAAATGTTTGGGAAATTGCTTGTCGGAGCCCTGCATGCATAAAAGATAACATGTATATGCAATGTCTTTGAGAGAATTTAGTGATGTACAGAGCTTCATATAAGAAAGACATTTCAATAAAGTCACATTGATGGAATCAAAACACTTGGTTCTTGTACATGTGTGGATATTAAGGCCAGTTTACGAACAGGTATCAAGTAAACCGATGAAAAAAGCTAGAGCATGTTTGGACTGTTTTCACAGGAGCTGTGTACAGAACAGAATAAACAGTTCCGATAATTCAGAAAAAAAAGCATCTTGCACGTATCATGCGAGCACTAAAATTTCCAAGCTCCGCCCCTGGATTCATGTTCTGCCAAATAAGGTGAAAAAGGCCAAAACAACCGCACTATTCGTCCAATAAGCGTAGAGAAGTTATTCGGTATATCATTCTAATAGGCTTATCCTAATGTCAATCAATTTGCTTGCCTCTGATTGGCTGTATTTCTGGTAGGTGGGGCCGTTTGTGTTTGTTGTTGTTTTCGTACATCAGCAGGAAAGCGGTAGACATCTTGGAAATCCAGATCTGTCTTGTGCGTTTTGATCGTTTCTTCAGCTCAAAAATCATCACAAGAGATTTACTAATAAAACTTACTACTCGGAGAGTTATCGGAGTGTGTCTGAACTTGGGTTGTTTCACGTGAAGCTTGCTTTTTTTGTGTTTTTAAAGGTACGTACACAGGAACATTTTTAAATATCGTTAGCGTCACTGTTGCTAGCTGTCGCAATAAACGGTCCGATTTAAGCCTGATGTTTTTAAGTAAATATTCTATTTAAGCTTTGTTGTGTTTAGGAAGTGATTTTTTATAAGAATATGTTATAGATATGCTTGCTTAAGTCGCTTTTTTTTATTATAGTGTTGTCCAAAAGAGTGACGTGGCCTCAGGTTGTGATGAACTTTGTTAGCCCAGAAAACTGGATTAAAAAAAAAAAAGGCATCTCCTGCCAGCTGCTAACATCTGGCAGTTTGATGTTCCAGATGTGAATAAACCATGAAAACTGCGTCTCAGTCTCCTATTATTATGTTAATGTTATAAACTATGTGTTATTCTGTCTCTGTACGGTCTAGTTCTGCAACCTCACTTTATTTTTGATAATAAAAAACAGAATTACGGTAAGTGTCTGTTTTGGGGCAATTTTTAAAAAAATATAATTTGCAAACATTTATGTTTTAAAGTGGAAAAGGGGTCTTGGGTTTTGTTTTGTTTAACCAATATTTAAAAACGCAAACAATAAAATTTAAAAAGGACATATGAGCAAAAACTATATTTTGTGTGTTTGTTGAAAAACAAAATCAAATCCGAGTGCTTGTGCAATAAAATGCACTACAGCGCTTCAAAAATGATAGCTGTTATTGGCTCGAATGTACATTTTCTTCATTTAGTGCCAAAAAGCAGTTTGTCTTATTGGTTTGTGGCTCTTTGCACATAGTTTACACAAAAGTCTTAAAACAGCTGACATTTATCTAAAGTGTAGACCCTAACTGGACCTTTGCTCCTAACTTGATTAAAACTTTCTCACGTCTTATCTCACGGTGCCTTGCTCTTCAGTCTGACAGGGTCACTTGTTTACAGAGTGGTTGAAGTCAGACGGTGCTCGTTCTTCTTTGTCTGCTCCGTAAATGAAGCCTTTGTGAGACGCTTCATTTGTCCCCCCCTGTTGCTTTCAGATGGGCAGTCCGTATCAGCGCTCGGTACCACTGGAGGTGAGGAGAGCAGAGGGAGAGCGAGTTCGGGCCAAGCATCCTGACAAGATACCGGTCAGTGTGATGGTGATTACCTGGAGTGGACTGAAGAAGCTCAAACATGAGCAAAGATAATCTGATGGAATTACTGCTCTCTCTATTCATCCATATTGTTATTTAAAGCTAACGTTATAACCAAAATCACATTTATCATTTGTTTTTAAACAGATTTTTATACTAAGACTTGTACTTTTATGTATTTTACTTTGAAAAATGAACTTGTGTATTTTCGCAAATGTTTTTTTTTTTAATTTTAAGATCATTGTGGAGAGGGCTCCGAGGTCGCGAGCTCCTGAACTGGACAAGAAGAAATACCTGGTGCCGTCAGATTTAACAGGTGACTTCACATGCATGAATTAAAAACTGTAATGGTGTCATGTGTCACATGGTCATCTCCAGTAGTTTCTTTTCTTTCATTTTTTCTAACATGAAACAGAAGAACTCTGCGTGATTCGAGCTGACCATCTTACTCCATTTCCTTCCCCCTTTTTGAATTTTTTTTTTTAGTGGGCCAGTTGTGTTTTCTGATCCGTCAGCGTATGTCTTTGAGACCTGAGGAAGCGCTCTTCTTCTTTGTCAACAACTCCCTCCCCCCGTCCAGCTGTCCCCTCTCTACTGTATACGGGGTAAGAGCATCTCCACAAACATCGCGACAAACATTACAGAACATTTCTACATTTTATTTTGAAAACCTGGAGATTTTTTTCAACAACATATTTAGTTTCCTTTTCCATCAGACATTTTATGACTTTGGAGAAGTTTTTATCGTTGAACATTTGTCTGTTGATGTTTCACGCTGATTGTGCCGCACGCTGCTTGTCATGTTGCAGGAGCACCACGAGGACGACCTGTTCCTCTACATGACCTACAGTAACGAGAGCGTGTATGGTGCCTGATAGGGGACAAAAGACTGGAAAAAAGACGGAGAGAGAGAATGAGAGCGGGCAGAGTGAGATTGGAATAAAGAGTTTAAAGTTTTCTGTTACGCTTTGCGCCACTTTAATTGCCTATATTTTATTTAAACCTTTATTTTACCAGGAAAGAAATGCATTGAGATTATTAATCTCTTTAACAAGGATGTCCTGTATGAGTTGCGGTGGATGGAACAAACTTTGTACAGAATGGATCGGGCCACCGGTTGGAGGTTTTAATCTTTGACAGTATTTTCACTCTAAACTCTAAGCCACAGAATGTGGTCTTTCTTTTTTTTCGGGAGGGTTTTGGAAAATGAGCGCAAATAAAAGGAAATGATAAAAATGAGAATTCTCGTGATCTTTCTCAGTCATCTGTATTTAATGCAAATAGAATTATTGTTTTTGTAAATTATCATAAACTTTTGTGGAGAATAAAGGAAATTCAAAAAGTGGGTTTGCTCTGTGTGTGTTTACTTCTCTACAGAAAATGAGGATTTCAAAACAAAATGAATATTTTAATCACTTCACGTACACATAAAGAAGGTTTTTTAATGCAAATAAACAAGCATTTTGTTCAATTTAATTCCTATGAGGTAAATCAAGTCATCACAGATCATTGAGCTTTAATGGGATGGCAGAATGTCTGAACACTTAGAGCAAAGGCAGCAAGAAATCTTAATGGGGAAGTGTTCAGTCTACTGATGAGTCATTTTTTAACTTTTCTGTCTCTTTATAACTGCTCTGGATTGCTTGATGCAGCATTTCTCCACCTAGGAGGAGAAAAGGTTGTATAACTCTTTGTGAGTTGACCAGAGAGTTTCCGAGTAAACCGAAAGCCGCAGGAGAAGCATGGAGCTGCAGGAGATCCGATCAAGGAGCACCGATGCAACTTTGGAGGAGGTGAAAACACAAAGTGAGAGAAACTGGGAGTTCTGCAAATATTCTAAAACTATAATCATATTTGATTCTGTGTATGTGTTTAACATGATGAGTATTTTACAGTAAACGTAAGATTGTTGTGTTTTTGTTTTTAGAGGAAGCCGAGTCTAAAGTGTATGATGAACTGCAAAGTCCATCTGAGGACATTTACTCTGAGACCATTTTTACTGATCCTCCAGCTTCAATGACCAAAGGTACATGTTTACAGAAAATATTACATGACTTGTAGTTTTATTCACAAGAAAAGCTGAAACATGCTCAGTCTAATTGCATCTGATGAGATAAAAAACGCCCTAAAACAACAAGTTTCAGCTCATCTCTTGATATATCTGTCTTTGTTCAAACCACGAACCCTCAAACAATTAGTTTTTTTTAGCTCTATTCTCTTTCCAAAAAAAAAAAAAAAAAAAAAACAGCTGGCATGTTCAGGCATGGATGTTTGGACAAAATTAACTATAAACTCGTTATTTTTTATGTTTCTCTGATTAAAAATAGCTGAACTTGGCAATAAATAATTTAAAAAAGTCTAAATTTCATGTTTGAACAACCGAGAGTACCTTAAAAAGATATTCTTAAAAAAAAAGTCTGAAAGTTTACAGCAGCAGAAAAAAATGTAATCAAAGTTGAAATAATTTACAGTCAAACAGTGCAACGTGTCTATACAAAAAGATTAAAATGTGCAAAATAAGATGCAGTATTACACTGCTCATTTTGCTAAAATGACTTTACTGTGTAATTTAGTGCCATAATTGTTAGCAAATATTCATATTTCTTTGTAGAAATCTTCTGTTGTTCTGTACTTTCACTGAATATGTATTAATATCCTGTAGATTCATTTTATGGATGTCAAATCTATCAGACATTATGTTTTTTCACCACAAAGTCAGGTAGCAGGTGCATTTTTTGAACAGATTTTAGTAAAAAAAAAAAAACAGAAACTCTGATGCAGCTGCTTCTTTAGTTTTGTGAGAACTTGATTAATTCAGATTAATGTGGATACTGATTTATAAAAGATTGCAGTCTGTTATGTGGCTCACTGAGCCTTTATATCTTGACTTTTCTCACATACCATGACAACTTAAAATGATTTGTCCTATGAAAAAGAGAGACAGTGTTTTAATTTATAGAAGTAGTTCAGATCCACTTCTCGTTTCTGCAGCCGTGAGTACGATGATCTGATTACGAGTTCAGAGGCTGATACATTAAAATTAAGAGCAGCTCATTTGTGTGTCGCTAGAAACATTAAAGTTCATCTTTTTTTATGTTTTATTTTTGAAGAAGTAAAAGGAAAAAATGCCAAAAAAGAATAAAGAAGTAGCTGTAGCTGAGGGGCCCTTCTTATTCTGCTTTTTAATTTAGTATCACTGTCTAAAACTGTTTAGCAACAAAAAAAAAAACAAGCCATTGAGTCTTACAGACAAACTTTATATGAGAATAATAAAATACAATTAAAAAAAAAGTATGTTTTTCTTCTTCTTTAACTAGTGAAACTTAAATAATTTGTACAAAAAGAAACACATTCCCCATGCTTAGGACTAAAGACTAAACATATATTTATGGTTTCTCTCTCGACGGAGTGGTTCTGTCTTATCGGAACATCATTTTATTAAGTGGGAGTTCACACACAGTTTCCCAAAAACACAACTCGCTCCAGCAAACAGAACCTTTGGTGTAAAAATAACATGATTTGTTGCAGTAGTTAACAGGATGAACGACTGGTGCTTTAGGTCTAAAATAATTTATTTAAATTACACCTCAGATAAAAAAATAAAAAAAACAGCTGCAAAACTGTAAAATGCAAATAAACATCCTTAGACTCTGTGGATAACCGTACAAAACACAGATAAAGCTCATCAGGAAGAAAACCTTGATTTTATCAGAATAAGCTTTATTATCGTTATACTGAAATACACTGAGATTATAATGACTTTAGATAAGTAAAAACACCTTAATGTTTTTATAAATGTGCCTTTTAAACCTCAAATGACCAGATGACTTCCTGAGTCTCTGAAGTGAAAGTATAAATGTCTACGTACCAGGGTTTCTGCATAAATCAGCCAATCATATATTTAGCTTTTAAATGCCGTTTTTAAACATTTATAATGCCATCAACAGTGAATGCAGAAACTTCACACGTTTTAAGAGCCATTTTTAACGCCCTTTTTGATGACACTGACAGTTAATGCATAAACTATTACATAACTTTTTGTTTCGTTTTACAGAAGATTTAGTCTTAGTTTCCAAGCGTTTATCTTTTGTCAATTCAAACTTATTTAAACAAGCCGCACAGAAGCCAAACAGGCGTGGAGCACCTCCATGTACAGTATGTGTGTATATTTATTTTTCACTGTCACTCCATATACTATATACTCTTATATGCCTGTAACATATGTACAATATGTATATTTATTAAGTACAACAATATGGACAAGTGAAAATGAACGAGTGCAAAGTCTTTAATCACAGACCATCAAGACATGTTTTAACTTAGAGAATGTCCATCAGATTAGCAGATAAAACATAATCTGTTAAACTCTGGATAGGAGAAGGACAAGGTCAAGGTTTCTTTATTGTCATTCTCATCATATGTGGTACATGTGGTGGAACAAAATCGTGTACACAGGGTCCCAAGTTACATCCAACAAAGTTTGAATTGTAAATAAAGGCATGGATTACTGGCCCACATGTCACCTACCAAGCCCTGTTTCAGAACTTAATGCAACTGTTAAATGTTTAGAGCAGACAACAGAAAATGTGCAATTTAAATTACATCAAATGAAGGTGGTGCATTGGATCTGTAGCGGCTGTTTGCTCTCCTGCTTAGAGTCACAGGTAATTCAGTTAATTTGCATGAATATAATGCAAACGTTCAAAGTTCATGATCAATAATCCAGGTTAAAAAAAAATCCTACAAAGCTCAGTCAGGTCATCTGGACGCATTATTTTATAGCTGAGGCGTTTCGTCCTTCATCCAATGACTAAGCACTTTGGTAACAGTTCCTGTTTTAAATGTGCTTTATAAATAAATCTGACTTGACTTCTTCAGTCCTCGGAGCCACAAACAAACTCAGTCTCACAAGCCGCACGCTCACATAGTGGACCAACCAGTTTGATGGTGGTAAGATGGTTTCTGGGGCCCGCCTTCTCCCCTGTCGACTCCTCTGAGGCAACCATGGCCAAAGTGGTTCAAAACATCAAAGTTCATGCTCAATAATCCAGGTCCTCTGGATAGTTTCATCCTCCTTTGGACGAAGGGCGAAACATCTCAACAAAAACAAACTAGTCCAGATGACCTGACTGAACTTTGTTGGATAATGCAAAATAATTTTTCCCGACATGGCCCTCACAGGACTCCGTAGTTATCGGTTCTTTTTGTTGTGGTTTAATAACATTTTAAACTCAATACAAAGTTACTGCGTGCCATCGTCAATATTTTTTCTTAACAAAGCTGTAGTTGTTTAATGTTTTTTTTTTTTTTTACATCATCGCCTCACCCCGTTTGTTTTGCTAAAATCTTGTGTAAAAATGAGTTTCAGATTTTTCTGATTATGAAAATTTGAAACTCACAATGAAAATGTTGTGAATTTGCCATAAAAAGATAAACGGAGACACATCTTAACTATAATCTTGGGCGTACAAATATTTGTCTTTTAGTGTTAATAAAGTTTAAGTTGAGAACTGAAGCAACAGAAACAGCGGATCAAACTGAAATGGACATTTAAGCAGACTGTGCGAGCTCCTGCAGCAGCTCAACAATTTTTGACACAACCCCGACTCACCTTTCCACATAGCAACTTCTGCTTTTTTAATTTTTTAAATTTTTTTATTTTTCCAACAAAATGCTTCATCCTTCTGACCGTCGACGGGCTGCAGCCATCCTCTCAATTCCTCATTTTCCACCCACTTTACCTGGAGTTTGCATGTATCCATTTTATAATTAAAAAGACTCATTTTTCTTGAGAACAATGAAAACTATTTAATGCCACAGAGATTCAAATTTAAAGATTTTTAATGCCATTTAAGGTCTTAAATGTATCTAAAGCCATTTAATGACAATGCTTTTTAATGCCCTGCAGACACCTTGGAACTGTGTTGCTCAACGTTAGACTTTCTGCTGTCGTGTTTCTGCTTTATTGTCCATCTTTATCACTTCTCATGGCAGAGCGACAAGGATTTTGACTGGTGTTTTTCTGTAACGTTAGCAAAATATCCCCTGAATCACTGGACGGAATTGGCTGTTTGGAGTCAAGATGGCGTCCCAGTTAATCAACCCTGTACCCAGCACAAAAAACATCTGTAGCTGAGCTAAATATACAGATATGCTACAGATATTGGGTTAAAGTTTGATGTGGTAGTAGCTGAGAGTCTTTCACAGCATATACACCGAGGGCTAACAGATCAACAGATCCCAATATTTTATGAGTTTGTGCATAATGGTATTTTGAAGATCTGGCGGCATTTCTTAGCATAAAACAATCCTTCAATCAAGGGATGCTAGGCTTAAATTGTAATAATTTACGACAAACAAATAAATAAATAAATGTGCCCCGTTTAGTTTTTATGATACTAATCATATTTTTAAAAAATCTGAAAAATCAACACGTTCACTGTAAAGTTCCTGGGTTGTTTTTATTGGAAATGTTTTGAGCATGACCTTGGTTTTTTTAATACATATATATATATATACACAAAATTCTGCTTTGTAATCTCATGTTTATGACCTGAAGCTTGCAATCAGAACCAGTCGTGTCGTCAAGTTCTGCCTCTGCACGGTTTGAGCCCAAACACTGATGTGAAAGGACCTGGGGGGAAATCTTATCTCTTGTTTTGGAGTTAAAGTCACACACACACACACATTCACACTCTCTCTCTCAAGAGGAGCGCAGAGAGACATTCAAGGACAAACCATGCACTGTCCCGCATTCATAGTTTAGGAATCGGATGTTGCCATGGCGACGAGACAAAAGCAGGGGCTCTTTAAGCTGCACTGGAGCAGGCAGGAAGACGGAGCAGGACACAGGAAACAAGCCTCCTCACTCAGAAACACAGCATGTACATCAAATTCTGTCGCTGGGATGTTGAGGATAAAAAAGATGAGAACTTATCCGCCAAGTTATCTGTGGAGCTGGAGGGGGAGAATGGTAGGAGGGAGCTGCTCGTCATGGTGGTCTGTGTTGTGCTCACTGATAGCCTGCTTGTTGTTCTCCTCTTTCAGGGAAATGGACTGAAGGAAAGGAACGTCTGTACCGTTTCGGCTGTTTGCTTCTGACTGTGCTTTGCTTTCTGCTCCTGCTGGTCGTCGTCTTCCTCAGCATGAAACGTGAGTAACAAACCCCACCAGTCTGCAGCTCTGGGGCAGAGACACCAAAAAAAAAGAAGCTCTAGGTTCACATTACTCCTACTGTCTTTATTTATTTATTTTTTTACCTTTAGTCCAATCAGGATCTCCTTCCTGCCCCACCCAGATGTGCCAGAAGATGCAAAACAATTGTAAGTTTGAAGCTGCAAAAGTAAAGTGCAAAAATTAAAAAAAATAAAATAAAAGTTGATACTTTCTTAATCGCTACATTTATAGGCAGTTCTGCTTTTGTAGCTTCCACAGAGGTAAAATAATAATAATTAAAAAAAAAAAAACATTTGAGGAAGTTATTTTATGTTAACCTGTTTTCGTAAGAAAGTTTTCATGTAATTTATTGAAAGTCTCTGGACTTTACCCAGCATGATTTCCTTCTTGAATATATTAGATCCATATTTGGTTGCTCTGAGTCAGAACATGTTAAATACAGAGGAATGGAAAAAAAAAAAGTTTTGAACTTTATTATTTCCTGGTGTTTTTGTTTCAGTCCTTCCTTGTGGACTTGACTGAACTTGAGTTCACTTTTCTTCCAGATCTCAACAGCCAGCAGTGCTCCAAAGGCTGGATCCCCTTCGGCAAATCGTGTTTCTTCCTGTCCACCACCAGGCTGACGTGGGATGAAAGTCAGAAGAACTGCAGCTCCAGTGGTGGATCTCTGGCTGTCGTCACCACTCGTAGCGTCCAGGTGAGTCTGAGAGCGCCTGAACTCTGCAGTTTGTTCAGTTCAAACATTTTATGTGGGTTTTTTTTTTTGGTCCGAATTTCACCTGAGATCTCTCTTACAGAATTTTCTAACTGACTATGGGAATGTGAAATACTGGATCGGACTGAGACACGACAACAATGCCTGGAACTGGGTCGACAACAAACAGCTAGAGCAGAGGTGACTCTTAAGATATATCTTAAATTAAAGGTCTAGCATTGTTTGAATTAATTCGTATTGCTCACTGCTTTTCATGTTAGAGAACTGAACTAAAATTATTTCATTCTAAGAAAGAAAATTTTGTTCAATATTTGTAAACTGAACTTGCCCTTAAGGAGCACAGGTCAGTGTATTTCTTGTGCTGGTCCCAATCCCGGGTAAATGGTAAGGGTTGTGTCCAGGAGGGCACCCAGTGCCACACATTTGCCAGAACTAACATGCGAGTTTATCTAAACGACATCATACTGGATCGGTCGAGGCCCGGGTTAACAGCGACCGACACCGGTGCTGTTGCCAAACAGGGTGCTGGCAGAAATTGTGCTACTGTTTGTCGAAGACCATGAGGAGGGAAATGTGTCAAGAGACAGAGGGAGAAGAGGAAAGTCAAAAATGTAGGACTGAGGGTTGCAACTCTAAAGGTGGGGACAATGACAAACAAAGGTAGAGAATTGGCTGACATGATGCAGAGAAGAAAGGTAGTCCAAAAGACCAAGTGGAAGGGCAGCAAGGCTTGGAGCAGGGTTTAAACTGTTTTACCATGGTGTGGATAGAAAGAGAAATGGAGTAGTGGGGGTACTGAAGGAGGAGTTGGAAAATAATGTAGTAGAGGTGAAAACAGTGTCAGATAGAGTGATGTGCCTGAAGGTGGAAGTAGAAGGTCTGATGCTAAATGTTGTCAGTGGTTATGCTCCACTGGTTGGATGTGATTTTGAGGAAAAAAAGAGAGTTTGGAAGGATCTGGATGAAGTGATAGAGAGTATTCCCAGGGAGGAGAGAGTGGTGATCGGACCAGACCTGAATGGACATGTTGGTGAAGGAAACAGAGGGGATGAGGAAGTGATGAGCAGGTTTGGTGTCAAGGTAAGAAACCAGGAAGGACAGATGGTGGTGGATTTTGTCAAAAGAATGGAAATGGCTGTAGTTAATGCTTATTTCCTAAAGAGGGAGGAACAGAGTGACGCATAAGAGTGGAGGCAGGAGTATGCAGGTAAACTATATTCTGTTTAGAAGAGGAAACCTGAGGGAGATTGGAGACTGTACGGCTGTGGCAGGGAAGAGCGTGGCCAGACACCATCGGATGGTTGTGTAGAATGACTGTTGTTGTTATGAAGAGACAAATAGTAAAATCAGAGAAGAAGACCAAATGGTGGAAGATGAAGAAGGAAGAAATGTTGTGAGAAATTCAGAGAGGAGCTGTTAAAGGTGTTGGGTGGTAAGAAAGAGCTTCCAGATGACTGGGTTACTGCAGCAACAGTAATTAGAGAGACAGGTGGGAAGGTACTTGCTGTGTCATATGGACAGAGAATGGATGATAAGGAAACCTGGTGGTGGAAGAGTGAAGTGCAGGACTCCATTCAAAGAAAGAGATTAGCCAAGAAGAAATATTACAGTGAGAGGACTGAAGAGAGGAGAAAGGAATATAAGGAGATGCAACATAGAGCAAAGAGGGTGGTAGCAAATACAAAACAGAAAGTGTATGATGAGTTGTATGAGAGGCTGGACACTAAAGAGGATGAGTAGGACTTGTACCGATTGGCAGACAGAGGGATCAAGCTGGAAAGGATGTGCAGCACTTTAGGCTTGTTAAAGATAGGAATGCTAATGTTCTAAGTGAAGAGTGTGTGATGGGCAAATGGAAGGAGTACTTTGAGGAACTAATGAATGAAGAGAATAAAAGAAAAAGAAGCATAGAGATCATTGAAACTGTGAACCAGGAAGGGGGAAATGTTTGTGAGAGTGAAGTCTGGCAAGCTCTGAAAAGAATGAAGAAGAGGAAGGCAGTAGGACCTGTTGACATACCAGTGGAGGTTTGGAAATGTCTTGGAGAGATGGCAGTGAGGTTTTTGACTCAAATATTCAATGGCATATTTGAGGGTGAGAAAATGCCTGAGGAATGGAGGAGAAGTGTGCTGGTGCCCATTTTTAAGAACAAGGGTGGTGTACAGAGTTGTAGCAACTACAGGGGAACTAAGTTGATGAGCCACATGATGAAGATCTGGGAGAGAGTCGTGGAAGCTAGACTTAGAGAGGTGACTATCTGTGAGTAGCAGTATGGTTTCAGGCAAAGAAAGAGCACCACAGATGCCATCTTTGCTTTTGAGGGTGCTGATGGAGACGTACAGAGAGGGTCAGAAAGAGCTTCATTTTGTCTTTGTGGATTTAGAAAAAGCATATGACAGGGTGCCGAGGGAGGAGGTGTGGTATTACATGAGGAACTCTGGAGTGGCAGAGAAGTATGCTAGACTGGTACAGGACATTCTATGAGGACAGCAGGACAGTGGTAAGATGTGCTGTAAAAGTGATAGAGGACTTTACTATTTGGCTTTTATGTATGTGAATGTTCCTGTAAAGTGCCCTGAGACAACTTCGTTGTGATTTGGCGCTATATAAATAAACTGAATTGAAATTGAATTGAATTGTGATCTGATCTATGGTTTGGAGACAGTGAAATTGACAAAAAGACAGGAGAAAGAACTGGAAGCGGCAGAAATGAAGATGGTGAGATTCTCCTTAGAAATGACAAGATGGATAAGATTAGGAATTAGATCATCAGAGGTACAGCACAGGTTGAACAACTGGGAGATAGCGAGGCCAGACTGAGATGGTTTGGACATGTCCAGAGGAGGGACAGTGGGTAAAAAAGGAAGGCCAAAGAGGAGATCTAAGGATGCAGTTAGATTGGACATGGAGGTAGCTGGAGTGAGGACAGAGATGGAGGAGGATGACTCGCTGTGGCAACACCTGAAAAGGGAACAGTCAAAAGAAAAAGATTTATAAACAGAGTTATAATAAATATTTTTGTATTTGTTAAGGTAGATTAGCTGTGGTGGCTATATTTAATGTAGCTTATTTTAAACGCTAATGAATTTTAGATTTACAGCTAAAAATTACCTTATGATAGATTCACTAAGATCTTTCTGTGGTTCGTGAGGGTTTTATTTTTGCTAACAGACAAACAGCTATTTCAACAATTAATGCCCTTGTTTTAAGTAAATATGTTGGGGAATGTGTAGACCTCAAAGTATATTTTGAAAAATGACTTTGCCACTACCACACCAACTTTTAGCTTAGTAGCTTTTAAAATGACTGAGTACTAGTCGTGTTCGTGCTTTTGAGGTCAGTTTGCTGTGGTGGCCATCTTGAATTGGATCTGTTTTTGATGTACACCCAGGGATTACGCCCCATGAGCTTCATTAAAGTTTATTGTTGGTTTATGACGTGCATTGCTAACGGTATAAAGAAACGCACACACACACACAGGCAAAAAAAATGTAAATGTTTCTGGCCTTCAGCTGAGGGTAATAATAGACGACTGGTAAACAGACTTTAATATCTAACATCTTTTTTTTAAGGCTTAGTCTGTCCATCCATCAATCCATCCAGCCAGCCAGCCCTGCTAGCTGTCTGGTTTCTTAAAATATAAAAAAACAACTTCCTTTTGCCCTTTGTTGGACTTGTTCTAACCCACAAAGATAAAACTTGATTTGATTTTAACTTTTTTCTGCCCTGTGTTTGGTTCCTCTTCCAACACTGTTGCAACACAAGATATATTTTCTACCTCTGCCTTACTAAAAATAGATAAAAACAACATTGTGAAACAACAGAACAGCATTTAAGACTCCCCGTCTTCCTGTTTGTTCACAGTTTCTGGGCAAAATCTACCCAAAATGGAGACTGCGCCCTTCTGAGCAGTGAGGATCCAGTGGAGACGAACTGGGACAGAGCTTCCTGTTGGGCCGCCACATATTTCATCTGCCAGCAGCATCTCTGATCACATCCCTGTTTCCTGATCAAAAATTTCAACTTCAACTTTTCAATAATGCAGCAAATGATTTGTTTTCCCATATTGTGCTCCTGTCAGTATCCAGAAAGAAAACTGTCTATCAGATAAAATGAGCCTAACAGAAGATAATTTGCTTTATTTTCTGTGTATTTCCTGTTAGTCTGAAATCATGACAGATCAATCATTTGTACTGAATGATTTCTTTTCCATCTGAAATCCAAATAAAAGTCAGTAAGTCTTAAAAGGTTTATTTTTTATATAGATACTTGAGCAGCTACATGACAAGTTCAACCTCTCTAGCCCTGCTTATGTCGCTGCTACATCTTATGATACATTGCTATAAAAATAACACTCTTTTTTCCTCTATAGCTTAATACTGCAGGGATAATTGCACAGTTCACAAGAAGGGAAAAGAAACACGGTTCGTCAGACTAATCAGGCAGAATCAGATGCTACACATATTTGATGTTGTGGTTCTCCTCTGGCTCGCTCCACTGCTCCATCTCCAAACCCAAAGTGCTGTGACGGATCATCTTCCAGCTGGCCCGTGCCGTCTGGATCCTGCTTTCACTGGTTTTAGATCGAAGGAACGGGGATTCCTTCGATGGGTCGGACTTCTCCTGCTCCTCTTTCTCCTTCTCGTCCTCCTTGGAGAAAACTTTGACGTAGCGGCGAACCTTTTTCTTCATGGAGTCGTTTCTGTCCTCAACCCTGAAGCCAAGAACATGAGCAGTTAAAGCAAATGTACCTCATCAGTTTTATTTCAAATTCAACCCAAGGTAGAAAAACACAAATAAGATACTGATTAGAAATATAAAAACTGCACAATAAATGTACACATTTTCATTTAAATGCAGCTTTTTTTCCTGGTTGCAGGTACAAAGATTATAAAAACTGATTCTTCCACTCATTAAAGGGCAAAAACTGGAACAGTTTAAAGTCGGTGTCAGCTCGTGAAGATGATTAATGTTTTCTTACAGTGAGGGGGGCTTGCAAATAAATAGGGGTGGTCATTGCCCCACTAAGGCCTCGTTTTGGAAGACCCTCTTGCAATACTAAAATACTGCACCAGAACAAATAGCAAATCATATGATCCTGTTTAATTCAATTCCATTCAGTTTATTTATATAGCACAAAGTCACAAGGTACTGAACAGAAACATTCATATATAATAAAATAATAAGTTAACACTATCTGAGGAGCAGACTGCTTTGAATCTAACTCCATTACAGAACAGATACACAATGGCAGGTCGAGAATCACATATTAAGATAGAACTAGTATCAAATGAAAACTATTCAATTTTAGCAAATCATTTAAGGAAATTATGTCAATTTGTCCTCCAGTAGTTTAATATGGCAGCACAACAAGCCAACCCTAATTATAGGATCTATCAAAAAGGAAAGTCTTAAGACCAGTCTTAAAACTGGACAATGTGTCAGCCTCATGGACAGAAACTGGAAGTTGATTCCACAAGAGAGGATCCTGATAACTGAAAGATCTTCCTCTCATTCTGCTTTTGGAAACTCTAGGAACCGCGAGTAAGCCTGCAGTCTGAGAGCAAAGTGCTCTGTTAGGAAAATATGGAACAGTAAGATCTCGAATATAAGCTGGAACTGGGTTGTTGGGAGCTTTGTAGATTAGAAGTAAGATTTTGAATTTCATTCTGGACTTGACAGGGAGCCAGTGGAGGGAAGCTAAAACTGGAGAGATATGATCTCTCCCACTAACTCCAGTTAAGACTCTGGCAGCAGCATTTTGGATCAACTGAAGACTTTTTAAAGAAGCATTTGGACACCCAGATAACAAACCATTGCAATAGTCCAGTCTAGATGTGACAGATGCATGATCTAGTTTTTCTGCATCATTTTTAGATAAGATGTTTCTAATTTTAGTGATATTATGCAGGTGGAAGAAGGTGGTTCTATTAACGTTTTTAATGTGGGGGATAAAAGACATGTCCTGATCAAAAATAACACCAAGATTTTTAACATTAGAACTGGAGGCCAGATTAATGCCATCTAAGGAGGGAAAAAGACTGAAAAATTAATTCCTAAGGTGCACAGGTCCAAAAACCAAAACCTCAGTCTTGTCTGTATAAAGCAGAAAATTGAGGGTCATCCAGGTTTTTATGTCTTTAAGACATGCTTGTAGTCCAAGTAGCTGATTGGATTCATTGGGTTTCATGTGTAGTGAACCAAGCCTCAGGTCAAATCCTGACCTTGAGGGCCTTCCTGGGACAAGAACTGTATTTCATTGATTTGAGTCCAGAAACACAAAATCAAGTCCATCCAGAGACTTTCTAAGTGTCCTGCACTGATCAATTGAAAGAACACTCTCTTTTTTATTATCATTACTATTTTACAAATGTCGTGATAATCAAAAGTGTGTTTAGTTCAAACCATTTTTAAATGTTGAAGTGAACTACTCATTTTAAATCAACTGTGAAACAGTGTTAACGATTTTTTTTAATCCTCATTCAAAGTAGAAATCAAGTTAGAATGTGTTACAGAGTAATGATTCATTTTCTTGATCTTCTGTCTGAAATGAGCAAGTTGTGATGTCGGTCAAACGTCGGAGACAAACGCAAACAAGTTTGTTGGAACGAACTGTCATGTTTTTAAATCCTCTCAGACGTAAATAGAGAAGCTGGCACCTGTTTCCTCCCAACTCGCCTAAATATTTCTCCTGTCTGTCGCAAAAACATTTTCTGTCTGTTCCAAAACATTTGTTCTGTTTTTCTGACTTCTAGTGACCTCTTACGTCACAAAAACACACCCCTGATTAGCTATTTCAGCCAATCAGGACTTCCCAAATGAACCGGAAACAGAACTCTTTAAATGTCGACACTTCCTAGTTCCAGCCAGTGCGGTGGGAGAGCAGTTCAGTTCGGAGAGCAGAACCGAACAGAAAAAGGTGCTGGAGAGAACAGGAGGTTCCAGACATGATCCGAAGTTCTTCCGAGTCTTGTGGGAATTATGCAATCTTCCACATCTGAGTGGAACTCTGACGGACTCACAACTCATGTGAGCCCACCCGGGAGGTGAACGTGTGTCGAACGAAGTACCGTCACTACTCCGGACGTTTCCCAACCATCCTACGGAGACGCTGGAAATGGTAGCGTTAAATGGAACTCCGTACCAGCTGATTCATCTTCAGAGAGGTAACGAGTCGATTTCCTACTGAAGCGTACCGAGATGAAACTGGGTTCGAATGGAGAGTGCCGTTCTTATACCGACACATTTTCCCACACACACATTTTCTCTCTACTTAACTCCTTCATTCCCATCTTTAAAACTCTTCTATCCTGCCAGTAATTAATCCAGATATTTTCAGAAATGTCTGTTGTAGAGCTTGAACCCAGATACCATGGCCGTATGGTCTCTGACGTAGAGCTAATTAATTAAGCTGTTGTTGAAATCAATTTGCCAAATTAATGTAAATGTGTGATGTTAAACTTTGATTCTGTTAATAAATGACCGCATTCATTTGATGGGTCAAAGAAAATTAACGTCTCACGTCACATTTAATTTCAATGCACGATATTATTCAGTCCAGAAAAATGAATGAATCCGTTTAATTTATGAATATATCACAGATATATGTTCCTCTACACATGGATAAATATAACTGTGTATAATCAGCATAACAATGAAAATGTATCCCATGCTGTTTAATAATATTACCTAAAGGAAGCAATATATAAAGTAAAGAGCATTGGTCCAAGCACTGAACCCTGAGGAACTCCATGACTAACTTTGGTGTATGATAATGATTCATTATTTCAATCAACCTTTATTTAGACAGGTAAATCCCATTGAGCCTCGAGGACTCATTTACAAGAGACCTGATTTCAACAAAGAATGATGACAACAATGGACAACAGCGACAACAATAAACAATTATAAAAAGTCATACTGCAGGGTTGTTTTTTTTTTTTTTACAAATAGGATGGCTAAAAGGAAAAGGTAACAAAAAAAACAAAAAAAACCCCAGCTAGATTCTAAGGCGAATGTAGAAAACTAACAACAGGAACACGTCTGCATTAGTCCCTGCCAGGAGTCCAACAGATTTTTAAAGCCACTTAGAGAGGTCAAGGTCGAGAGCTTCAAATCTTTTTGTAAGATATTCCTGGAAACAGGAGCGGAGTAGGAGAAGGCCCTTTTGCCCAGTTCAGTCCTCATTGAGGGAACACTGCAGGTAATAATGTCCTGAGAGCGCACTCCATTGGAATATATCAGATAAATATGATCTAAACCAATTTAGAGCCATTCCTGTACTCCCAATATCATAGTCAAGTCTCTGTAATAGAATATTGTGATCAACTGTATCAACTGCAGCACTGAGGTCTAACAGGACCGGCGTACTAGACACGTGTCCATTATTAGAGGCCATGAGCATATAATTAGTAACTTTCACCAGTTCAGTTTCAGTGCTATGGTGAGCTCTAAAACCTGACTGAAACTCTTCAAACAGATTATTTCTTTACAGATTATCACACAACTGACCTGCAACTATTTTCTCTAGAATTTTTTAGATGAAAGTTAGATTAGATATACAGTAGTTGTAGGGATACATGAATCAACAGAGAGATGATTTTTCATTAGACTAGCTATGGTAATGAAAAGGAACTTGGGGTTATTTTTATTCTCATCAATTAAAGATAAATAATATAAAGTTCTAGCTTTACGGAGCACTTTTTTGTACATTAACAGGCTATTTCTCCAGGATAAGTAAAATTCTTCAACGTTAGTGGAGCCCCATTTTCTTTCCAGCTTTCTAGATGTCTGTTTTAAAGTACATAACTCTGAACCAAGGAGTTAATCTCCTCTGATTGATTACTTTCTTTTTCAGCAGAGCAGCTTTATCGAGTGATGTTTGCAAAGAAGATGTAAAATTATCAACCAGATGATTAAGTCACTTCTCTGTGATGTATTACTCTGCAAAATAGAGGGAAACGATGGAAGAAAATCTTTAAATTTGGTTACAGCGTTTTCTGATAAGCACCTGCTAAGATGAAATTTACTCTGTGATTGTGTAATCATTTAATGTAAACTCAAAGGTTATTAAAAATGATCAGACAGAACATGATTTTGAGGATGGATCACTAAGTTATTAATCTCG